ACCGGGCAGTACCCCGGCGGCTCTGCCCCAGGCATCCTGATTCAGCCGCTGATCAGTTTCAGCAGCAGCTGACTTGGGGACACCTGGGATTCTTAAGTTGCATCTGTATGTAAGTCGGAACTGGCGTCCAGATTCAGCCTGTTGAAACTGATCAGAGGCTGATTCCAGGAAGCCCAGGGCAGAGCAACTCTGCCTCCAGCTTCCTGTAGTCAGCCACTGGTCAGTTTCAGCAGCGGCTGAATCTGGACTCCAGTTCCGACTTACATACAAATTCAACTTAAGAACAAACCTATAGTCCCTATCTTGTACGTAACCCGGGGACTGCCTGTATACAAAGCATACAGTATATATAATGTTACTTACTTAGTTGTACTGTTTTTCACATGTACATCTTACTGCCAAGTTTTAGTTGAACATATCACGTGAAAGTATTTTCAGGAAATTTTTCTTCATGACATTTTAACATATGGTACAAGTTGCAAATAGGAATAAATATTTAAAATATTGTCAAGAAATTCTGGGCACAGTATCTCTCCCACTCCATAAGCTTTCCTATGAATATTAATATTTGAATGATCAAATGAGTGACTAACAACATTTTGTGGATACTTATGTACAATTCGCTGACATTGAGTAGCTTTTCCTAGCTAACTCATGCAACGCATCTTTGATCCATGCCTTTAAACTGCTGGTTTATTTCTAGGTCATTCCAAAACTAATCTGTCATTTGTCTTAAATGTTGTTGGCCATAATTATTAGAGGCTTAGATAGGAATGCCAAACTACTTTTTTTTTAAATGAAAACACTTAATTTGAAGCTAATTATATAGCCTTAAACCTTTTATTTCCTTATGCTAATATCTGGATCACTACCAAAATAATCGTTTTCAAAATCAGGTAAAAAATCCATCCTCTGCCTACCAGGACTGCTCAGAGGACAAAAGCTCTTTTCTTCTTCACTTTGTCTTTGCTGTTACTTTCTTTAAATCACCACTCCCTTTGCTCCTTCTCCTCTTAATTCATGACTACTAAGTCCTCATTTCTTTTGGTTTCTTCCTATCTTCCTCCCCAAACTTAAACCCTTAGAAGAAGAGACAAAGTGGAAGAAATATTTCTCAGTTGTGTCATGCTCAGGTTTTCTTGTTTGGGAAAATTCCATTTTTATTTTGTCTTACACATCAGGCAGCATTTCATAGTCTGATTCTTGTTTTATAATGTTGGTCATTGTGGTATTTCAGCTCAGTATGGGTGGGGAATATGGTAATAAGAATATAATCCCATTGTTTTTAAAAGAACTTGAAATTAACTCTTAATAAGAATTAAATTGTATTAAGGCTTTGACATATTTGTAAAGTAGCAATTATTTAAAAGATCGATAGAAAACTTCAACTAAAATTTCACATACCAATTCCTATAGAAAAAAAAATTATAGTACTCCAAAGAGGACATGATGGAGATAGTTTAATAGTTTTTTTATGTGTATGTAACGAAAAGTATTCATACAATGTAATTCGGGATTCAGCATGTAAAGTGAAGAGCACACACACAAGTAAACTAAAGAGCCCTATAAATTATTGTTGTTATATGGGACCCACTAGTGTATCATGTATATCAGATGTACTCATCTTTATTTACCCAAGACAAAAAGGTTTTAGCATTATCATAATCAAAAAAGATGTTTTGCTAATTGTCTTTTATCAACTAGTTTGGTTAGAAACATCACTGAGTCATGTGATTCTTGCTCATGTGTCCAAGGTTAAACTGATCACCAGATATGGGTATGCAGTGTTTTTGTAGTCATGCTGGTCCCAAGATATTAGAAAGACAAGGTGGTGATAAGATCTTTTATTGGACCAATTTCTGTTGATGAGAGAGAGAAACATTCAAGCTCTGAAGGAGAGTTCTGTGTTGCTCAAAAGCGTCTCTCTCCCCACTCCCCCGTGGAAGTTGGGCCAATAACAGATATTTCCACACCCACCATTTCTCGCAACATTTGGGCTCAGGAAAGGATTTTTCTTCATGTCAGATTGGCTGAGACCTTGTGGGGAGGGGGAGGTTTACCTTCTTCTGCAACATCAAGTTGGGTTAATTGGTTGGGATCATCTGGGCCTGCCTCATACAGCCGTTTCCTGCCATTGCAGGGGCCTCAGGCATTCATAGCACCTCCATACTTGCTGTTTCTTAGCCGTGCATAAAAGCAGTTTATTCTTCACACCCTATAGGATAATTGGCCTGATTTGGACTTTATAACAATGAGTTTGAGTCACTAAAAGTCATTTGATAAGATTATAAAGTAAGTTTCTTTTTTTTGTAATCGCCATCTCATAGCGATAAAAGCATGTTTTCTCAGAAAATGAAATCACAAAGTTTGCAGCCAGAGTTTAAATGTCCTTTGTCCTTTCAATGATTTTTCACAAATAGGGCTGATAAGAACACTTTGGAGGTAACAGTTTTGTGACAGGATGGACTGGGTCCTTACTGGAGCGGGGTTCAGTTTCACTTGTGCCTAGTTATTGGTTTAGGCTCGGATTGGAGGATGCATGAGGGCAAGAGGAGAATTAAAGGCTGAAGTAGATGCTATGGCTTAGTGATGGCAGTGGACCTGCCATCAATTACTATCTTGCTTTAAAAGTCAATAATTAAGTACTTAATTCCCACAAGGAAATTCTTAATTTCTGGTTCAGATTTAGTCCAAAGTACTTATAAACATAGTCCTACAATTCAGTTTCTGTCTTTTTCTATTTGTAAAACAGGAGTTTCAGCAAAAATCCTACATTTAGCAACAATTTCATAATAAGATATATGCAACTGCCGGTGAATTCTTCACTGAATAAGAGTTTTTCCCATTACATGGTGGTCACTGTGCCCAACTTCCCCAGAATTAAGACGTCATCTATCTGGAATTGTAAGATTGAATGGAAGTATGTTATGTATTGCGGACTGGAAAGACCAGTAGGAATTTCTCTGTCTTGTCTCTTCTTTATCTACGGAAAAGGCTGGATACTAAGGCTGTGCCGTTTGCCCTGACATAACTGGATTAACCATCCAATCAGGTCGTCTTCTTCACAGTTTGGTTAAGGAAGATGCAACAATAGACGGTTGTTATCATGCAGTATCTGAATATGTATGTCTAGTGAAATCTGCAAGGAATGTGTTGTTTGTGTATAAATCTCCAGATTATGAGTAGCTCTGGTTGTGTTTATCCTGACTAGAACCCCTGAACATTAAGTCTGGTGCGCAAAGAAGCATTCCTACAGACTTAAAGGTTCCAAGATTTATAGAATGGTGAAGTCAAAAATTGAGTGGAGCCCTCAGAATAAAAGTTTTCCCTTTACCAAACTATATCCACTCCATTTCTCTGAAACAGGCAAATACTGGTTTCCTAATGGGATATTTGTTGCCAGCATCCAACAATCATATTTGTATGCCCCATTCTAAAGATTGGGCATCACACAAGCAGGGTAAATAGCTATCTGACACTACAGCAGATTTGCTAAACATTTTCTTGTGTTTGTTTCACATTCTCTTTTGAAGTAAGGAATGTTTAGCATTAGAGCCTTGACATCTTCCTTGAATCTCCAAAAATTTATATTGAGAAAAATAATACTGTTTTTTGTGTTTACCCTCCGCTCCTCCAAAATAATTTCAGGAGATGAATCTTTTAGTGTTGCCAAGTAGTTTCCTCAGAGAGCAGGTGAGGAGTAATGGAGTGCAACCGTAAAAACATCAATCAGCAAAGTAAATGTAAATAATAATCACCATCAAAGAGAACCTTTTCCCAGTCACAGAAAGAATCCTCTCAGTCAGCCACCCTCTAAAGCAAAAGACAGAGCAAATAGAGGAGCCTGGCATTATGTCCTGAAGGACAATAAACTCAGGTATTGTAGGATCAAAGGAAGAAGTGAATTTAAGAGTCTGCATTCACATTCTCTGCTGCCTTTTTTTTCTATCTTCTAATCTGAATGATTTACCATAGTGGAAGGAGATATCCAGGAAAGAGGAGAGAATTTATTGTTGATTGATTTTTTTTTTTTTAAATTCTGAGCCCTAAAACTGAAATAGTCACATAATAATGGCATTGTTCTGGGACCTGTTATGTCTTAATATTATAAGAACTCACTCAAACACTTCAAATTCTCCTGAAGAAATTTGGTCCTTGTGGCCTGCAATTTCGTAGGGCATCTCATGCAACAAGCCCCACACACATATGCCTAAATCCACCACTGCTTTTGCAAACATGAAGGCTCAAATGACATGAGATTGATGAATAATTAGTAAGTCAGGTTATCCAGAGAAAAGAGTTTTGTGTGGGAGGGAGGTAAATGCTCCATATTATTATAATTATTATTTTTTTAAATCCTAAGGTTCAAATAAGCTATTATGTTACTGTTTTGGGAGCTGCGTGCTCATGTTTCTTTGGTTACTTTGCTTCTTAAATAAACTGTCAGCTTTTTGTGAGCCCTGGAGAGAAATTGTGATTCAAAGTAAACCCACCAAAAGTATTAATCTAGCTTTTGATATTTGTGTTGGTT